AACCAAAACAGGTTATTATAATTTTTATATGAATAATAAAATAAGTATAAGGAAAACTTGCCCACTCGACTGTAATATTCTTTAATTTTGTAGTCCGTATGAAAAGGTGCATTTCTATTAAAGGCACGTCCATGTGGAGATGGCGAGTCAGCGTTGGCATTCGGCAACCTCATCTTTGCACTCGACACTGACTCAGAAAGCACTAGTTTATTAATAAATAATTAAAATGTCTTATTTTCCCCCGACACGTTCATAATCACTTTGCCGGTGCTTTGAGGCAATTGCTTAATGCGCGAGCTTGAGCGCGAAATAGGCTCTAGCCTAATACGTCTGCCTATAGCCTATATTGAAGTATGGTTAATATATTATTATATTAATCAATTTAATATAACGTGCGACTAGTTGACTAGAAGAATCTTTAGTAGAGGGCAGGCCTACTTAGCACAAGGAAGCTCTCCATTTTTAAAATAAAATGCTATAGCCTAATGACATTACGAAAAGAGCAACAGCTGCAAATCAAATCGTTATTGCACTGCACCAGTTATGCATGCGTAAGGAGTCAAATGTTGTTTTTTTTGTTTTTTGTTTTTTTATCACCCTAATTAGATTATGAAGAATTATTTGTTGATCTTGTTTTCCCTTTAATACATACCTTCCGCAATATATTTTTCAATTACTTTCAAAAAGTGGTAGGGACAATATCGACCCTGGCAAAAAGTGGTGGGGACATGTCCCACCCGTCCCACCCGTCCCACCCACAAATTACGCCTATGATTGTAACTGAAATCTACAGACACAAATAGATGAAGTGTAATAAGTGTAAGCTTTTCATCTAAAAATAGCTTTTTGTTTAAACTCTTGAGACATCTTTATTGAAAAATCTGTCAAATTGGGGTCAGAAGATATTACCCAGAGGGAAGTATTACAAGCATTCATAGTATAATGCCTTATCAAAAGAGGCATTATTAGGCTTTCAATCAAACACTCAGCTGATACAGTGTCCTGCTGCTGAGCCGATCTTTATCTCAGTGCATGTCAGTCGTAGGCCTATGTCCTCTTTGTATAAGGACCAGGATTCAGTTAGACTGATTTTGTGGACGAGATCAACTGATTCATTGCAAAGATTCACAAGTGTGATTTGTTAAAAAAAAACAGAAAAGCTGCTTCTCTTTTAAAATATGGCAATTAGAGCTTGTGTGGATGCTCTGCTTAAATTTACTAAGCTAACTAAGCTATTTGGTGGCTTCAGAAGACTTGGTAAACAGAGCTCGAGGCATATAGACTACTTTTATGATATTTTATGAAGCTTTTGAACTCCTTATTAATTGCCATTGTATTAAAACTATTTGAAACAACATTAAAGAGCCACTGAAGTGCCTTGAAACAGACAGCATTATTCTATGTGTTGACGTAATTTCAACTGAAAGAGGAAGACAGGGTCGGACATATCGGGCACCCCTGTCCCCTTTTTTAAATAGCCAGTATCATTTTGTTTATATCACAGCTTGGGCCAGAGCCATTGAGCTCGGTAAAGATGCATTTGACAGCTTATGACAGCCACAGAATACCCCGTTAGATTCAATATGAAACTGTTACTAAAGCAAAACAGTGATTATAATAATGCTGATGATGTGTAGTTTGAAAATTGTGTCATTTATATTGGTGCATGGTACCAGTATTATCTATTCTACTTGTTAGTGCTGTATGTCTAACTGTTTCTCCTCCTAATCTGATCCAAATCACTATAAAATAATAGCATTCTGTGTATGTTTTGTAGTCTATGCCGACTCACACATATGAATCCTCTCCATGCTATCATGTCTGTGGACCGGAGCTGACTGTGTGCGCCCTGCGGTGGTTCGCCTTTACACAACGCAAAACCAGACTTTGTTTGCGCCAATGGCAAGCATATTTACGCTATTTGAATGGTTTCCTATCCCCTATATAGTGCACTACATGCCATTCAGTTTACAGAATATATTAACTCTGTGAACAAGTGACCGATTTCAGCTGCAGCTTCAGCATCTATTTCAGGGGTGTCAAACTCAATTCCTGGAGGGCCGGAGCCCTGCAGAGTTTAGATTCAACCCTAATTAAACACACCTGATCCAACTTATCAAGTCAGGCTTATAGGGTATATGTCGAACGTCACCTGACCAAACCCAGAAAACAGGTATCATCGCTTACACTTGTCAGAGAACAGGTTAACAGCCGTAGTAAATAATAGCGATATCTATGGACTTTTAAGATAATCAGTTAAACTAGCTAGCCATTTTTATTGTTGACATTTTATTCACATTTTTTATATAAATGTAGTGCATATGCATATGTGATTTATGATAATCTTTAGAATCTACTTTGAAGGCATCTTGAGTAAAACGGCTTTGTATTTAACAAAGCATATGCAAAATGCTTGAACCAGAAGCGGCGAGTCCATGATAACAGAATACAGAAGTCTGTTGCGCATAACCCCCATTTGAGAACTACATGGTACGTTTCTTGGAGCAGGGTTAGGAAAAAAAAAAACGAATTGAGTTTGACACCCCTGGTATATTTATAGTGTAGGGGGCAGGACGCTTCGGATTCTAGAGAGCATTTGATTGGACAGAAAGTTTGACGAGAAGCTGAAGTGTAGGGTGATGTCATCAAAATCATTTATCCATATTGGCAGAAGTTAGTGACTGCAAGTTTTGAATGATTATCTGTCACAACCAGGACAAAGAGGCAGACAGGCAGGATAACGTTAAGCAGAGAGTTTAATCAATGGAACTTAAGAGAGGCTTCCAACCAAAAAGAGTTCAACATAGGCAGTAAGGGAAGCAAAACCAGTCTTATCTGGGTCGGCACTCCGATCCTTCAGTCGAGAACTGAGGATTCCGAGGGGAACAGGCAGACTGGAAGACGAGGAACCAGGACAGAATAGCCCGACGCCCGAGATTGACAGCGAGGACGACCGCAGCTCCTGGGAGCGGGGTGGTCTGGATGAGCCTGGTGGAAGTCGTTGAGGAGAGATGGGTCCAGTATGTCCTCTGTCTGCCCGCCCATGACCTCTCCTCAGGACCGTACCCCTCCCAGTCTATAAGGTAGTGAAGCCGGCCGCCTCCCCGCCGGGATTCGAGGATCTCCCTGACTCGGTAGATGGCTTCGTCGGGGACGACCTCGGGCGGAGGGGGGGGGTACCTCGTGTTCTGTGGAGGGAAGGAGAAGAGGATTAGTGAAGGGCTTTAGTAAGGACACATGAAAGGTGGGGGAGATCCGATAATGGGCAGGCAGGTGTAACCGGTATGTGACAGTGTTGATGCGCCTTGCTATGGGGAAAGGACCTATGTACCGGGGACTCAGCTTCTTACTGGGCCGCCGGAGGCGGATGTCCCGGGTGGACAACCAGACTTGGTCCCCTGGCTCATAGAGGGGATTGTCGGACCGACGAGTGTCTGCGTTGGCCTGGTGCCTCCGGACGGCCCGCTGGAGATGGATATGTGCTGAGTCCCATACCCTCTCGCTCTCACGGAACCAGTGATCTACCGCTGGGACTTCTGAGTGATCCTCGGTCCAAGGGAACAGGGGCGGCTGGTAACCGAGCACACATTAGAATGGGGTGAGTCCGGTGGTTTCCTGGCGTAAGGAGTTCTGGGCGTACTCGGCCCAGGGTAGGTACTGACTCCAGCTGTCCTGGTGGTCATGACAGTAGGCCCGGAGATACCGTCCGATCTCTTGGATCTTCCGCTCGGTCTGGCCATTGGTCTGTGGGTGGTATCCCGAGGACAAACTGACAGATGCTCCCAGGAGGCGGAAGAACCCTCGCCAGACCCTGGAGATGAACTGTGGTCCTCGGTCCGACACAATGTCCTCGGGGAGACCGAAGTTCCTGAACACGTGCTGGAAGAGAGCTTTGGCGGTTTCCAGGGCGGTAGGTACTCCCGCAGGAGAATGAGTTTGCAGGATTTAGAGAATCGGTCGACGACCACTAGGATGGTCGTGAATCCGTTGGAGGGAGGTAGGTCCGTGGCGAAGTCCACCCCCAGGTGGGACCAGGGACGGCGAGGGATGGTAGCAGGACCAGTTTCCCCTCGGGCAGACGACGTGGCGTGGTGGTGATGGCACAGCCCGAGCATCCCCTGACATACCGGGCGACATCTCGGGCCATGTGGGGCCACCAGTAGCGGCTCTGGAGGAGCGAGAGGGTTCGTCGGCTGCCTGGGTGCCCTGATCCCGGAGAGGTGTGAACCGAGTCCAGAAGGGTGACACGCAGGGTGGATGGGACATAGCTCCTCCCTTCTGGGCTTCCCGACGGAGCGGGTTCAGTGAGAGTGGCGGCACAGATCTGGTCAGTGAGAGCCCACTGAATGGGAGACATGAAGACGGCAGGCGGCAGGATGGGCTCGGGATCTTCGGGGGTAGGATCCGGTTGGTGTAGGCAGGAAAGTGCGTCCGAGCGGACATTCTTCGTCCCGGGATGGTAAGTGACCAAGAAGAGGAAGCGGGTAAAGAACAGCGCCCAGCGGGCCTGCCTAGGGTTCAGACGTTTGGCCTCTCGGAGGTATTGCAAGTTTTTATGGTCGGTGATGCCCTCAAATGGGTGCTTGGCCCCCTCCAACCAGTGCCGCCACTCCTCCAGGGCGAGCTTGATGGCACAGGGCCGGGGCCGTACAAAAAGGCGGCCTTGAGCTGGCTGAACGCTTGGTGGGCCTCTGGGGTCCAAGTGAGGAGTTTGGCTTTCTGTCGGAGGAGAGAGGTAAGGGGCGCCGCCATCTGGCTGAAGTTGGCGATGAAGCGGCGGTAGAAGTTCGCGAACCCTAAGAACCTCTGCATCTCCTTGACGGTACCGGGTTGGGGCCAGTTCTGGACGGCTTCCACCTTCCTCTGGTCCATTTGTACTCCGGCCGGGGTGACGATGTATCCCAGGAAGTGAACCGTGGACTGATGGAACTCACACTTCTCGGTCTTGAGGAACAGTTGGTGTTGACGAAGGCATTGGAGGACTTGGGTGACATGGTGACGGTGTGCTTCGAGCGTGGGTGATTATATGAGAATGTCATCGATGTAGATGAGGACAAACCGATTGAGCATGTCTCGGAAGATCTCGTTCATGATGTTCTGGAAAATGGAAGGCGAGTTGGAAAGCCCATATGGCATGACCCGGCATTCGGCGGTCTTCCATTCGTCACCTCGGCGAATGCGGATGAGGTTGTATGTGCTCCTGAGATCTAGCTTGCTGAACACACGGTCTCCGGACCTCCAAGCGATGGTGGGCTGATGCCGGGCGAGCCAGGGGCATCCCAGGACGATGTCCACGACGGCCTCCTCCAGCATCAGTAGAGAGATCCGTTCGGCTTGGAAACATCCGATCTGAAGAACGACCTCGGGCGTACGGTGCTTCACCAGCCCTTTGCCCAGCGGCTTTCCCTGGACAGTGGTGATCTGGTAAGTTGGGGAGTTTTTGCAGCGGGCAATTTGCAATCCGTCGAGACCACGGGAGGAGATGAAGTTCCCCGATGCTCCGGAGTCCACGAGGATTTTGACTGGAAAGGATTGGTGGTGATAAATTAGAAGAGCATTGATGTGAGGAATGCCTGATACATCAGGAGTGATCTGGATAGTACTTGGATAGTAGTGGTGGACAAAGGGGGCAGGCGCGGGGCTGGTGCCCCTGGGACCCACAGTAGAGACATAGGCCATGGGTGAGTCTCCGAGATCGCTCTGAGGACGACAGGTGGTAGCTGTCCGTGATCATGGGCTCTGGTGCTGGAGTGGAGAGGCCGGGCGAGGCAGCGGCAGCGGGTATCGCTTCCATAGGGCACGCGGGGCATCCATAGGGCATCGCTTCCATAGTCCGTGTTGTAATCCGTTTTGTTTTGAGGTTTTGAATGATTATCTGTCACAACCAGGACAAAGAGGCAGACAGGCAGGATAACGTTAAGCAGAGAGTTTAATCACAGGAACTTAAGAGAGGCTTCCAACCAAAAAGAGTTCAACATAAGCAGTAAGGGAAGCAAAACACAGTCTTATCTGGGTCGGCACTCCGATCCTTCGGCCGAGAACTGAGGATTCCGAGGGGAACAGGCAGACTGGAAGACGAGGAACCAGGACAGAATAGCTTGCAACCTTGAGACCAGTCGATGAGGTGAGTGAGTATTTGAGTGGTGTGGTAAGTGGGTGCAGGTGTCCGTGATCAGTAATCAGGTGATTGTGAGCGGGTGTAGGAGGCTGATTCGGCTGGTGAGGCAGGTGTTTCTGTGACATTATCCACCTTATTTTTTCTGTAAGAGCGGGCGCGGCCATTTGTAAATTTAATGGGTCTGGCTTCCCTTGTCATTTGCTTCCAGCTATTTTTAGCTGTACAAAACAGCTCCTTTTGCTTCTTGATATTGCAAACTGGTGCCTCTTACCATATTATTTTAATCTATTATCTTGATTATGAACACACTGGTTTGCAAATTGTTTTACCGTTTACTGCACTTTGTTATACTTCTCCTTATTTTCCTACAGTGGAATTTTCCTAATGAACCGGAAGTCTTGCACATTCACAGAAAACGGCTTACTTCCGCTTTGAAAAATAAGGTGGAGATCTTCTAAATGCTAAGTTTGTCATTATTTTGGAGCACACTAGCTTATAGATAATCTTAATGCTAACATATTAATACCAATTTTGATTTCATAGGGACTTTAAGGCGAGTGAATAATGAGAATTTTAATTTTTGGCTGAACTATTCCTTTAATCAAACTTTAATCCTAATTCAAATTACAATTCTGCATTTTGCTTGCTTCTTCATTTCATATTCAGTAATTGGTATTTCGTTGAAGGTGCAGTATGTAATATTGACAGCTAGCGTTTGAAATGGGTACTGCAGTCCAAATTCAAAATATTGGAGAGAGTCCTTTCTCCCACCCATCCTTCCCAGACTCGATTGCCAGATTGAGGACATGCAACTGGAACAAGCGCAATTGACAATGGAAGACAATGAGCCTTACACTTAAGCTGATGAGTTGATTTATCCACATTTTAATATTCCTCTGGTCTAAAGAATTTTAGATGGACACTGAGGCTTTTTAAGTCATGTAGAATCTGCCATTTCTGACCCAGTTCATTTTCTGGATTCCATGGCTGCAATACAATGTGTTTTTCACCAACTGGCAACCCGGATAGCAAAATACTATTGGGTAAACTGGCAGTGGGCGGAATCACATGGACAAAAACAGACATTCCGACACGGAAAGCACATTTCAAAGTAAAATAACTGGCTGTAGCTTTGTTTGCAAACTTAGCATGTTTCCTAAATATCTGCAAAAATAAAAAAATTGCTTTAGTAGAGTCAAAACATTACATACAGCACCTTTGAGTTCTAAATGATGCACATCCCTGGACCGCAGTAGTAACTTGCTCTCCTGGCGAGATTATTTAGCATAGACGGACAAAAATAAATAGCAGTCAGAATAATCAGAGATCAGCAGGGCAGTAAGACCCTCCATCCGTGGGCAGCAGTGTCCTCCTGTCTCTCCTCCGACTCTGGGCTCTGTCTTTAATATGTGATAATGGTTCACCAGGCACTGTTTCCTACAGGCAGGCTTGAAAGCCATTTTCTCCTTATTACATGCATGATTTTAACTGATCCCAGAAAAGCAAACAAGTGTGGTCCCAACGGAGTGCTCTCAGTTGAACTGCACTGAGACCAGCCAGAGGGGATGGGGTGGGGGGACTACAGGATACAGAATGCTGCCCTTTGTTGTGGGAGGTGAGCAAGAACGAGTCTTAAGGGTACACACACACCATTTAGCAATGCATCCAATTTTCGCTTTAACACAGCTGGTATATAAACATCTAAACTGAGATGCTACATTTGTGCTGGGTAATACTACATCAAAGGCAGTGTACCGCACATAAACGTGTGGTTTTTTTTTGCCTTAGATCTCTTGACCCAGTGGAAAATGCATCTCTGGATCCCACGTTCAACTCACATCATCAGCAATATTTAGAGAGCAATGAAAATGACTGAAGTGAGGTTTTAAAGGCCAGGCAGGCTGTCTGTCTTGAAATGAATGAGGAGAAAAGACATTCGGCATGAGCACTTTTGCTTTTATTCTGCTGAATTTGGACCTATGCGGCTGCATTAGATCATCAGCAGATGTCAAAGTCTCCTGTCATCTGCCAAGAAAAATGGGAACAGAAAAATTAAGTGAGAGAGAAAGAGAGAAAGCTTGGACGGTCACTGTCTGGAGAGGAAGCAGAGATAATGGCGAGACTCGGAGGAAAGATGAACGCTTGAATATGCTGGAGAAGTATGTGTGGTTATTTCCGTGATAGTCTAACTAATTTTGAATCATAGCATAGTCAAGAATGTATATTTAGAAACAAGGAGACCATCTGACCATCATCCAACTAACCTTTGATGCCCTGGCTGTCTTTTTATTAGCTCCTTTCACAGATAGAGACGTTACTGGTAAATTACCTTTAAGCAGTGTTGGGCAGTAACACATTACTTAGTAACGCGTTACTGTAATTTGATTACTTTTTTTAGTAACGGAGTAATTTAACGCGTTATAATTTTCAAAATAGTCATTAGAGTATAGTTACAAGCCGAAGTCTCTATACGTTACTGCCACGATTCATTGCTGACAGAATGCAGTGTTTTATAATCTAGAGATTGTAAAAAGGATTCAGCATACGGGCTGTCGAGTCAAGTGCCAGTGGATTAGAGACCTGCACTCCCGCGAGACCCGATGCAACAGAGTGCGGCGCGGGACAAGATGGGTGAGTGGTGCTGCGGGTGGGTAGACACTTGTGTGTGTGTGGGATGCGGGAGAATAAAATGATTCACGGGACTCCCGCAAAATAGAAATATCTAAACATAAAATATCTAAAACAAATAAATTGTTATTCATCTATTGCACAAAAGCAACATGAACTAATATAAAATATGTGCAAGTGTATGCAGAGCTTCTATTTAGGCTATAACACATGTTTGTAGCATTGAGCAATGCAGTGCTGTAAATTTGTAGCCTCCTAGTTTACAGATCGCTGAGGTGTGTGCTCCTCCTGCCTGCATTCCAGCTCCGGTAAAGTCAAGGACCCGGATTACCCCGCTCATCATATCCTTCGAACGATTCCCTCACCATCACATCCTCTGAACCCTACCCCAGTACTCTCTATGACCGAATAAACCTATTTTAATATACTAACCTGTTGCGTCAGACCTCTTCCGTTACACGATCGGACAGGTAGGATCTAAACCATCTTAAAGCCTGCCCTTGAATACCTGTATAGTTTTGTAATCGATCTATGAGTATGTCATGATCTATAGTGTCGAACGCAGTGCTAAGATCAAGTCAAGCCGCTTGCTTTAATTAAAAATAAGTGTTCTGTGAATGTTGATGCTTTAATAACAAATATATACCGGGAGCGTGTATGCTGGGATTTCATAAATTTAATGGAGAAAAAAGTAACGCAACTAGTAATGTAACTAATTACTTTTGAAATAAAGTAATCAGAACAGTAACGTGATTACTTTTAAAAGGAGTAATCAGTAATTTGATTACATTTTCAGAGTAACTTGCCCAACACTGCCTTTAAGAGATCATGTGAACATGAACAGGACCTTTTCAAAAATACGGGTACAGAAAAAATTGGGCTTTTTCAAACAGTGCAGTGTTTAAAGGTTATTTCTGAAGATTGACATCACAGTTTACCAGTATTTTGGTAGTGATGTGTGAATGGTATCTTGCCAGTAAAAAGCCAGAAATCCATTGCTTGTGTGAACAGCATATTGTCAGCAATGTAATAAAAGTGCTGGATCTATCTGCAAGTAATGTATATTTTAATCAGAATAAACTCAAAACTAAACTTCTTAAGGAAATCTATACGTGAACTGAACACAGAACAACTGAAAATGAGAATTATATATACACAGGGGCTACATCCTAAAGCTTAGGCTGCTGACTTGTTGCCTTGCTGCCTTATCAGTCAATGACTGCAGGCAGTGTTTGCGTACAAAGGCACCTCATGAAACTGATTTCGGACCTGCTTCTGAGGCAGCGTAACCGTTTAATGATCTACAACAAAACAGAAAGAGCTTTGGTGATAACTAAGTGGATATTTAATTACTATGGTACTAATTTCTCACTAGAAATAACATCAGAAATGCTAAAAGTTGGTTAGAAACATACAATTACACACAAACTGACCAAACAAATGCAACTTTCAGATGCCATCTTTATTAGTCCAAACATCATGGAATAGAACGCACAGGATTTATGTTCTACTGAATATTTATGGCTTATGGTTATGACTTTTTATGCTTTCTGAAGAAAATGCGATTGATATTTGCTATCATGTTCTGGGTGCTTGGTAAATCAAAATATCCAATTCTTAAGTCATCCATCCATTTTCCAAACTGCTTGTTCTATGTAGGATCGTGGGGACGCAGGAGCCCACCTCAGCTTCTCGGGACGTAGGCAGGAAAACACCCCCGTCACATGGCCATCCTTGAAGGCATAATTTACCCCACAATGAAAATTGTCTTGGCATACACTACTAAAATGAGCATACTGATAAAGCAAAAATAAAATTGACCCTTTTTTTCTTATACTAGTTTCCCAAGACTAACCCGATATTAGAACAAGTGCCAGCCAAGTTCAACAGGTTATATTCAGCAGCAGAGAGAAAGACATAAGTGTGCCACACAGGGACGTCAGGGAAACTCATGCCAGGCTGACGAAATCTAATCCCAAAACCTCAAGCACCTTTCTCATGCCAACCTCTGGGTGGGCACTCCTGGGTGGGTCTCAAGCATATCTGTGTGTGTGTGGGAGTTAAACCCACTTCAGTCACAGGATGATACCTACAGGAGTGTTTAACACAAACCTCAGGCCCTTTTGCCCTCTCTGTTTATAGACATTATAACACAAACTACAGCGATTAAGTAATTGCAGTCCAACTCCACAGCTGATCATGGATCAGATCCAAACTGACAAGAACTTCATAAATCCCACATTGAGTCATTCACCAAGACTGATGTAAATATCTACAGCGGATCTAAAATATTCATAATTAATCATAACTAGTTATGGTTAATTATTCATATTTCCCATGAGCTGATTCGTCACAGGGTTTAAAATTGAGACTGTGATTATCAGCACACACAAAGTCAATGCAAACACATGATACTGTATTGTTAATGCTAATGTTTGGTGAATTTGTCTATTTGTCATCTTATCAATCACAGTCTTCTGTGGCACTACCACTGTGCTTACTGCTAACATATTGTATCATGGTATACTTTGAAGGATACTGTGGTATTACCATGTATAAATCATGTTGCCATATTGCAAGTCCAAAAATCATGACAAAACCATGGTGCCTGTTTATTTTCTCTCATAGATGTGAGTAATACTGTACAGGATTTCATTTAAATGCAATTATTTCCAAATTCACCTGTTGCTGTTTTTTAAATCCCATGACCCAATTAGTGATGGGAAGATTGGATAATCTTACTGGTTTTCGATCATTCAATCTGTTGCTCTTTGTGTCGTGAGAGATCGCTGTTGTGCCTCAGTTCAAGCGGCACGTGAACAGATCATTTCTTCCTCTTTACTAGTTATAGCACGAAATAAACATCAGAACATCAGAATGTATCTTGTTTCAACCACAGAAAGATATCAATACACACCATTTTTCAAGTTCAAGTCCACCGATGTTATTCTACTCTCCTAGGAGTCTGATGGCAGATTCAGCATTATGATTGGTCAGATCACCTGTCAATCAAACTCCCTGCGAAGGATTAATTAAGAAATCACTGTAATGCAGCCAAAGATAATTTATGAGGAACATAAAATTTTACTTTACCTCCCATATCTTTTGTTAATTTATCATGTGACATATGCAATGAATAAATCATTTGTAAATGATCCATCACTGGACTCCATAGGACAGGCAGTTTGGAAAATGGATGGATGGATGTTTCACAAATGCCATTTACATTAATAGATTAATAATGATAGATTACAAAAAAAAGATATCAATAATAATATATCAATGTTCAAAAGCAAAAGGGAATTTCTAAAACCAGT